CATTATGAGGTGGTTTGCAAATCAGAGTCCGTTAAGGAGATGCATCTGGACAGTGACCAAGAGACAGAAGAAGTGTCCTTTGTAGGGTCTGTGATTGAACAGTCCGGCTCTGATGAAGATTGGCGAGTTACACTCAAAGTGATGGGATATTACTGTTATGTCCCTTGCAACGTTCATGAAACTGCCACGATGACCACAGCTTGACAAAGTTATGATAAAAGTTCACAGCCTTGGAGGTCGCATTGATTGTGTCGGGAGATTTCTTGCTAGCAGTGAGTACAAGCAAAAGAAATTTACTCTGTGGGTGTATGTAATCAGAGATCTGGGCCTGCTAAATTGTGTGCAGATCCACATAATGCTTAAGACGGGTGCTATCCCATACAGTATCGCCACACCTCATAGGATTCCATTTCCACTTATGCCACAGGTGGAAGCGGAACTTCTGAGAATGAAGAGTATGTGTGTTATTGAGGAAGTTACGGAAGCAACTGACTGGTGTGCTCCCATTGTGCCGGTTGCTAAGAAAAATGGGAACATTTGCATTTGTGGTGTGGATTTAAAACGTCTGAATGAGGCTATAAAGAGGGAGAGATTCGTACTGCCGACATTGGAAGATATAGCTCCAAAGTTGTCAGGGGCTAAATTCTTTTCCACACTTCATGCTTCCAGTGGATTTGGGCAGATACCCCTTGACCCGGGAAGCCGCAAGCTGACTACCTTTATTACACTGGTAGGTTGGTTTTGTTTCCGCAGACTCCCCTTCTGAATATCTTCTGCCCCAGAGATTTTCCTAAGAGAGATGAGTTCCCTCCTAAGGGACCATTAGGGCACTGTAGTAGACATGGACGACATCCTGGTGTATGGGTCCACTCAAGAAGAGCATGATCAGCGGATGTATCGTGTACTGCAAACTATAAAAGAGTCTGGACTGAAACTGAACAAAGATAAATGTCACTTTGGGAAAACAGAACTGTGCTACTTTGGTCATATCATTAGCGGAGATGGTATTAAGCCAGATTCCAGTAAAGTTCTTGCTAATGAGAAAATGAAAAGTCCTTCTGACGCACATGAACTGAGACAAATACTGGGCTTTGTGAATTACGTGGGCAAGCTTCCACAGGACTTGTCTTCAGTGTTACATCCTATTACAGAATTGTTGAAGAAGGATGTTGGTTGGATCTGGGGATCTCCACAGGAGGAGGCCTTTGCACTGGTCAAGTCAGTGCTGGGGATCTATGACCCATCTAAAAAGACTGGTGAGCGCTGATGCTAGCAGTTATAGGCTAGGAGCCGCCCTTCTGCAACTGAATGAGGGCAAGCTACAGCCCATTGCCTACTGCTCTCGTACATTGACAGCTGCAGAGACAAAATACGCCCAAATTGAAAAGGAGTGTCTGGCTGGAGTTTGGGCCTGTGAGCGTTTCCAAAGCTATCTGGCGGGTTTGGATGGGTTCAGTCTGGAGACCGACAACAAACCACTGGTTCCATTGATAAACTCTTATGATATTGACAAGGCACTCCTGAGATGCCATAGACTTCTGATGAGGCTACTCATATTCAATGTTCGGGCAGTGCATGTGCCGGGGAAGCAACTGGTGGTGGCAGATACACTCTCCAGGCTCCCGCTGGCTGCTGTTAAAGAGTCATCGACAGAATCGGACGTGAAAGTATACGTGGATTCGATATTGGCATCCAAGTCTATCTCTTCAGAGAAGTTGGATCAGATTAAGAGAGAGACATATCTAAATACTGTCCATGTACCCATTGCACTCCTGACCGCACGTCCAACACTAAGTGTGTTATTTTGCTTTTGATGTACGTCAATAAATACGTAATAAAGACGTAATCGATTTACTATTGGAGTGCCGGTGTCTATTTCTTTTCTGTATATCTAGATACTGATCTCCAGGAAGTTATAAAATACATACAAAATGGCTGGCCCAAGAGCCGAGCAGCGTGGATTTCGCTGAGCGCCTTCCAGTCAGAGAGAGCACATCTCACAGTACTGGAGGGTTTGGTGCTGTTTCAAGACCGTATTGTCATACCTGCCAGTATGCAGTGTGATGTTGGGAAGCTCACAGAGCACTCGCACAGAGAGTTTTGCATAAAACAAAAGCCTTTTATTTTCCTCTTGTAGGGCAGCCGAAAACAGTAAACACAAATATACGCTTATCTTCAGCAAACTTAAAGTAAAAGTCAAAATCTTCAGAACAGATATAAAAAAATGAATGTCTCACAGACTTGTTGAAAAAGTTCCAAACCTGGGGAAATCCCTTCCCAGGAATATAAGTCCTGTAACACTTCAGCACAGCAATCCAGCAGGTCTCTCACTAGTCACAGCTGATTCCTTTCTCCTCAAATCCCACACTCCTCTCTGGAGTTGCTGACCTTTTCAGCTGCTTCCTGTGTCAGGAAGGTTAACCCTCTGGGGCCCCTTTAGGGGACCACAACCCAAATAGTGGTGAAATATACCTGGCTTCCGCCACCCAGCCTTGCCGTCTTCTACAGCGGCAAGAAATGCTGAGTCGAATTCACGATGGTCATTTAGGGATTTCAAAGTGTAGGGAAAGAGCAGCCACGGCGGTGTGGTGGCCTGGAATCAGCACAGAAATTGCAGGATACGTATCAAAATGTGCCTTTTGCCGTGAACGCCAGCCTACCCAGAGGAGAGAGCCACTAATATCTACCCTGTTCGCCTGCGGGTCCCTGGCAGAAGATATCTGCTGATTTGTGTGAACTCAATGGGAAAAATTATCTGGTTATTGTAGACTACTACTCCAGGTATCTCGAAATTGCACCATTAGGTGAGGCAACCAGCATGGTTGTCATCACCCGCTTGAAAAGCATGTTTGCTCAGTGGGGTATACCATTGGAGTGGGTGAGTGACAATGGGATGCAGTTCGCTTCGGGAGAGTTCCGATCCTTCAGTAGAGAATATGATTTCCTTCACTCTACTTCCAGTCCACATTACCCACAAGCCAATGAGATGACTGAGAGGGCAGTTCAAATCACCAAGTTTGTCTTGAAGCAACCAGAACCTTTTTTAGCACACCTGGCTTATAGGGCGACACCTATTCAAGCCACAGGATGTAGCCCTGCACAGTTAATGTTGGGGCGACAGATTTGTACCACATTGCCTTCTGTGGGTGCATTCCAGGCTGCCTCCCCTGTTCTCTCGAAAGGAGGGATGAGGAGGCCGAAGCGGAGCTACAGATTCTTTTATGATAGGAGACACTCTGCTCGCCCTCTGCCTGAGCTGCACACGAGCCAAAATGTCAGAGTCAAACTGCATGAGGAAAAGGGGTGGAAAACACCGGCTACAGTAGTAGGGCATTCCCCAGAGCCAAGGTCATATGTGGTCCACACAGAAGGAGGGACTGTTGCCCGCCGCAATAGAAGGCACCTTCAGCCAGTGCCTTAGGAGTTGGGTGCCGAGAATTTGCAACCACAGCTGATACAATCCCCAGTCTTAAGAGGTGTACCCCCCAACAACAAGATTCTGGTGGGGACACATCATTGCCTCCATTGGACTCAACTACTTTAACAAGGATTTGGAGAAGGTCTTTGCAAAATGACTTCAAGTGGTAGGGTTGTGAAGCTTCCTGCACTCTACCGAGATTAATACTGCAGTTAGAATAGTGACTTGAAGAATGGGCAGAATAATCCCACAGTCACTGTGGACTAGGGTAGTCTACCCTGACGTCCAAGATAGTATTGTACCTTTACCTGCATTTATGTGTTCTTTTGTTTTATTGTTTTGTAAAAGAAAAATAATTATTATTGTTTCTAACAGAGGGGAGATGTGTTGAGAGCTGGAAGTGGCATCAGAGGAAGGGGTGGCTCTAAGGGCAGAGCACCAGAGACAGTACTGGGACTAGGGTGCAGATTGTGTCTCCCCTCATGTTAAGCTCTGAAATAAACACCAGTTGAAATCAGCTCATCGTGTTACGTGCATCTCATGGCACGTGAGAGCAATAATTCTCGGGCCATAATTCATGGTTAACGCTAAACTGATGACCTGTACAGGCTTTTAAAACGTCACCTATGGATAATGTTGTGAAGCATAGTTTTTCGCCATTGCTGAATTCCCAAGGTTACACAGGTTGAGAACCACTGTCCTAGATTGTTCACGTCTCCTGCCTTCTCCAAACTCCTCACCCTTTTGTTAATAACCCTGTCTGCATTACTTACCTCCTACTCCTGCACTCTGCATTACTACTGACCTGTGAACTCTGCATTACTTTCTTCTGATCCCTGACTCCTTCAATAATTCCTTTCTTTTCAATGGGTCCTTGCTAGGTTACCTGCTTAAAAAAAAGTGTGCTGTACACTCGTGAACTTTGATCTCTCCCATGTTGTTCGTGTAGAGCTCTGCCTCTCCAGAGTTTCCTACCCCTGCTTTAGTCCCTTATAGTAGAATAAAAAAGACAATAGCCACAAGCAGCCCTCTCGGTATGTTTATACTTGTCTTAATGTCTGGATACACCTGGCTGGTATGTTTGCAGAGTAGGGGTAGATATGCATTTTTTGTATAGGATTCCAGAGGATTTCCCTGATATTCATAGATGTCTGTTATTCATGAATCTGCCTGATCTGTGTCTGATCGTGATCCTTATGGATCAGTTTGCTTACTTTTATTTATTACAATATATTGTGTGGATTGTTCAGTACAAATAATCATCTAAAAACACTAGTAGCCATTGAATCAGATCCTTATGAGAAAGCACACCATATGTAAATGAATCTTTAGATCTGCATAAAAATGAATTTTTTCATCCTTCAAAAACAAGGAAAACCGCTATGACGGAATAATGAAAGTATCACAAAAATCTGTAGCTTATTTTTGGCATATGTCATAGAATTGTAACCAGGGAAATGAAATAAAGGTCTAGCCTTGAAAAATGTTCAACTGCAGCCATAGACACAGCTCAGTGTATTTCCAGTTCCACCTTAAATGCTTGGCTATTATAGGTGAGTGGGAAGGCTTTAAGGAAGTCATGTGATGAGCAAGTAACAAAACAATCCCAGGATCTGATTGAGTTCAAGCTTTTACCAGTCTTCCTGTAGCAAAGGGCTTGCTGGTGTTGTAAATCTACGATAAGGCAAACAGGTATGTGCTAAGAAATGTTATATTTTTCTAGTGTAAATATTTTATGTTTATTTAAAATCTTACTAAAAGCCGCTCTTTGCTGAATGAAGGTATGATCACTCTTTTGTTTTCACTGCAGATATTGTGAAAAGAAAGCACGCTGATTTACTCAATAAAAGCTGACAACCATATTACATTTCAGTTTAGTGTAGTCCAGTCCGTGATAGTGGTATTCTAATTGCTATGGGTAGCTGCACAATGGACATTGATCTTTTTCATGCTGTAGTGGTCAATATTAAAAGAATTGCGGCATCCTTTTCACTGATTATTGTTTTGTAATTGTGATTTTCTGGTGTTTTACCTAAGGCACCATTCACACTTGAGCTGAGTGTCTTTTTGGCCCTCTTTTGACCATTTGTACAGGGGTTTTTGCATGCGTCTCAGGCTTGAGTGTTTTTTTTTTTTAGCCTATGAAAAGCTAGTTACTAGGCAAGAAAACACGAAAAATGCAAGTTTTTCACAGGCTTCTTTTGAAGTCTATTGGGGCCAAATGTTCGCTTATGCCCCAAAAGAAGCTCATGTACTTTTTGGAGCTACAGGCATTTTGCAACAAGTAACCGAACACTTAGATGTGAACCGGGGCCATTGAAAACAATGGCATTCCTCTTGTTGAGTGTTAGGCATTCGAGCCACAAAATACTCAGGCGTGGATGGCGATTAACATAAAATGAAGATTTTTTTTTTTTCAAAACCTTTTTTTTGGGGCTTTAGTTCTCTTTTTGGTCAAAAGAGAACATTTACTATTGTACGGCTGTGACCCAAAGTAAGCAGATGGAGGGCTGCTGCAGAGCTGATAGCATTTACTCTCCCAATACTTCTCTCTTTTAGGCCTGGTTCACACCTGAGCATTTTGAAAATGCACAAAACAGAGGAGACTGTTCATACCTTAGCATTGCGTGTAAGAAAACACCAGTCGTGCAAAAAGATGCAGGAGCTATTTTCAGGCAAATGTGGTGCCGTTTTGGTCCCATAGACATCTCTATACAGGGAGAAACGCACATTTTTAAAAGTAAAAACGCCTAGGTATACAACTAGCCTTAAGTTATGACCAATTTATTATAAAATATAGATACGCTTTCAGTTTTAGTTTTTGTTCTTAAATGAACAAGATTGATGTTAGGAATTACATCTTATAAGCAGAAAACTGAAGACCAAAGACATTGTTAGGACAACTCTTCAAACCCAGGACGTTATGGATTTCCTTGCTAGTGAGGCTAAGCAATAAGCAGGTTACACTAGTTTTTTTAGTAGTTATTTGATATTATAAAGGGGTCAGTCTTTTTGAAACTCATACTTCAGTTTGGAAAGATATTAGTGGGTTTAATCACCTAAGGCTTTTGATAAATACTGGTTGGCTCTATATTCATTATTTACCCCCTCTATGCACCTACCACAGCTGTTACATTAAAAATCCCCCCCAAATATTGTATGTTGCAAATGGTGACAGCAGCTGGAACATCAAAGCCATCCTTGTTTAAACAGGAGGTATGAGACTCTGTGGCATTGGAAAATAGGTACACAGTTGGAAACTTCAATTGGCTGAACTTGCCGCTGGGTCGGAACCCAGTTTGCCTGAACCACAACTGTTGCCTCTGATTGGATCAAGAGGAGGGGACGGCTGTCAGAGTGTTGAGCTCAGGCGAACTGGGTTTGCACCAAGCCCGGCCTCATCACTACTAGACATGAAACATGTGTAGGAAGCGAGAAATTCAAACCATGTACTCTAGATGAAAAGATAAAATATGCATGGTAGCTAAGTGATGAAATATGAAAGTATTTTTGCTTCACGGTACTGGAGTCATGGGTTAAATTCCCAGCAAGAGCACAACCTGAATGAAGTTTGTATGCTCCCTTTTTGTTCGAGTTGGTTTTAATCTGGTTGCTCGGGTTCCCTGTCATAACCTATAACCAGGCTCTACCTAAAAATGGTGCTGGTTTGTGTGTCGGTGTAATTGGTTAGGGACATTAGACTGGAAGTTAAGCAGGGGTAGAGACTGATGAGATTGGCTATTTATACAGTAAAGCACTGAAGAATTTGTCCACACAATATAAATAAATAGTTTGATGGGTTCTTTTATTAAGTGTTATTTTAAGTCTTTGCATTGGCAATGTCAACATTTCAAAAGTATTCATAATATATTTCGATTGCCTATTTGACACTATAGAGTGTGCTGAATGACACAAAGTGAAATTCAGGTCAGTATGTTAGTTGAAGTCAAAGGCCACACACAAGATAACTAGAGTCTGTTTATTGCAGCTGTTGCAAGTTTTCCCCTTCGTTTCCCTCCACAAATGCTGACTGTGCCTCTATATAATCTGCTGACAGTCTGTACCATGTGACACTGTCTTGTTTAATAGTTCATCAAATTATATAAACTGCTGCCCAGATTAAGTTTGACATATTTACATGGCATATTGTATATCCATAATTCCTATTGGATTTTTCTTCAGTGAATTGATTTCTATATTGTATATGAAGGTCCAGTAGCATAACTAGAAACTTCAGGGCCCCGGTGCAAGAAACCATGAAGGGCCCCCCAACCACCTATTGCCATGGCACCGTGTGGTTAACAGGAAGGCTGCCGAGGTCCCCAGCAAGTGTGGGACATCAGACAGCTGCTTCAGTTTAAAAATTTAGTGCCGTGTTCTGTCGAGAACGCCGACCCAGCATCTGTGCTTGCGCACAGATGGGATTAACAAGGAAACCGGCATTTATTTACAAAGTATTCGTTTGTAATGGTTAAAGGAGAACTATGAGATGAGTGATTTCCACTCACCTCATGGTTCTAGCCGACCTGTGACAATGAGACTGTCACAGGTCGGCTCAGTAGATCGGGAAGTGAGCGAACACATACCGGGTTCACTCACCTCTCGATCCTGTCATGGCTCTCTGCCGTGACAGGGGAAGGGGCTGGATTCCCCTCTCCCTGCTCCGATCTGCCAGCGCTGACTGGCAGGACGGGGGAGGGGGCGGGTACAGCTGGCTCTGCCTCTAGATAGGCAGAGCCAGCTGTCACTCACGCAGCTGGGCGGATCCCGACGTCCAGGTCGGGATCAGCTTCGGCGTCTCAGTATACCGCGAGCTGTAGCTCGCGGTATACTGAGCTTAGGGTAACGGGAGGATGCTAGTTTGTGTCCTCCCGTTACCCTAAGGAGAACTATGGGGAAAAACACTGACCCCATAGTTCTCCTTTAAATGTGACTGTTAACAATATGCCATCCACGGCAGGAAATGCTGGATGGAATATTATTAACGGTCACAATTAACGATTTGAACCAAATACTTTTGTCAATAAATCCTTGTTTCCTCGAATAAATCCTTGGTCTGTGCACAAGCGCAGATGCTGAAGTCAGCAAATTCAACATTACAAGTCAGTCATATTCAACTTAAAGGAGATCTATGAGGTGAGTGATTTCCACACATCCTCATAGTTAGAGCCGACGTGTGACAAAGAAGCTGTCACAGGTTGGCTCTATTGATCGGGAAGTGAGCAGAAACATGAACCGATCCGCTCACTTCCTGATCGTCTCCCTGCAGTGAGTGGCTGTGGCACTCTCAGTATATAGCGGGCAATAGCCCGCTATATACTGAGCTTTGGGTCACGGGAGGAGGTTAGTATATATCCTACAGGAGGGAGGAAGGCTGTGAACGGGGAGAGGGGACTCTGTCCGTGGTGACGCTGAAAGAATGCAGGCTCTGGGCGGTGTGGGGGAGAACCAGGGGAGACCCAGCGGTGTCGGGTGCAGACTGGGCTGCTGTAGCCGTGGCTATAGGTATTGGTGCTTGGTCTCTGTTAGGTCTGATTAGAACAGTGTACGGGAGTCGGTATGCGGAAGCAGCTGACAGGCGCCGGGTGATCGGATCAGTGATGGGATGGAGATAATTTAGGGACAGAAGAGCGACGCGTTTTGAGGTATTACCTCTTTTTCAAGCTCGAGTGGAACGAGCTTAAAAAGAGGTAATACCTCGAAACGCGTCACAGTTAACCAGTGTAGACTTCTTTATAAAACCTGTATAAACCTGTATAAAAAATAGATATAATCGCCATATGTTGGAATCCATATTCAGAATCACATCTTCCTTATCTAAATGACAGCGCTCAAAACCCACTTAACGTATATGCAAAATCCAGTTACACGTGATATTTCAGCTGTACATGTATCCGCCTTAAAATGCAACTACATAGAACATATTAGTGTTGGAGGTAATAAAGAGCAGTTTGATATGGGATGTGTTACTGTAATGGCTTTTCGACTATGGCCAACTGAGAACTTGTCATCCTAGAATGCAAACAGAAGACATTAGCTCTCCATTCAATGTTGTACTTTCTGCAGCAATGTCTCCATCATCACAATGGCAGGTCTCCTTCAAATGCACATTTACAAAAAGACACAAAAAAAAAAGAGTGAATCATATTCCTAGCTTAACACTGTCTGAATTCCAATACAGGGATTTACAAGCAATCACTCCGCTTGATGCAGTGTTGTGTGGTCTCTCTGTCATCTCATGCCATACGCAAACAAAAAGTACATTTTGTAAGACAATATTTTTATTAGGGATGCACCGATACTAGTATCGTTATCGGTGCCGATACTGAGTGTTTGGGCGAGTACTCACCTAAATGCTCCAATAACTTCCCTGATACCAGAATTTCCGGCCAGGGAGATTTCCTCTGACTGGAAGTCCCGCAAGGGAATATGGAGCTGGCTTTCCGGCCAATCAGGAAGCTGAACTGTGGGTAATGATTCGCCAGCTTCCTGATTGGCCAAAAAGCCGGGTCCATGCTGTTTGGCTGGGAAGCATCAGCATCTAGTCAATCAGCATTGAGCCGGCCAAACAGCATGTAGGCAGCTCTCTGGCCAATCAGTAAGCCGGGCGGCGAGTAATGACCTGCCTCCTGGCTTCCTGATTGGCAGAGAAGCCAGTTCCCGGCCAGTCAGCATTCTTTTACTCACCTTTGGGTTCGCGTACCAATCTATCGTACATCTCCTCTACCTCTTAAAAGACGGGATGTGAGCTGCAGTGGAGGGAAGACCTCAGGTGCAGACATGACAAGGTAACATTACCCTTAATGGGGAAGGTGCCAAACAGCTGTCTCGATGCTGATTGGCTGGAAAGCTGACTTTCCAGCCAATCAGCATCGATCTTGCCAAACAGCATAGAGCCGGCTTCCCAGGCAATCAAGAAGCTGGGTGGCAGGTAATGACACGTCGCCTAACTTCCTGATTGTCCTGGATAGCTGGCTCCATGCTATTGGAAATACCGGTATCGGCGAGTACCGAAATATAAATATGGAGCCAGCTTCTTGACCAATCAGGAAGCCGGGCAACGCGTCATTACATGGCGCCCGGCCTACGGATTGGCCAGAAAGCTGGCTTCATGCTTTTTCGTCACAAGGTTTTACTATTGCCATGCCTACTGCCACTGTACCCTCTGCTGTATACTGTGTACATTCAGCACATTCCTCCATAAGTGCAGATGGCTAAAATAAGTTCTGTTTTCTGGTTGGAATGTTCTTACCGGAGTTCAAAAGCAGGTTTTTGCATGGAGTCTGCATGGAGTTAGCATGTTCGCCCTGTGCTTGCGTGGGTTTCCTCCCACACTCCAAAGACATGCTAGTAGGTTAATTGCCTCCTATCTAAAGATGGCCATACACTGAATGAAAAATAATATAAGATTCCTCTATCCACACTAAACAGCGTGGATGGATGAATCTCCCGCATGATGCTGCCAGAATACCTGAAAAGTAACAGCAGACGCTTGGCTGCCGTCACTATTTGTCCCACATTTTCCAACTGGCTTCTATGATTTTCTTATTGAAAGAGGCTGGATAGAAGGGCACCAACAGGGGCACCCACTGTGCAAAAATCAGACAAAATTTGCATAGTGTATGGCCAACTTTAAAGAGTGATATCACTTTTGTTGAGCAAAAATCAATCCTCTATGTGTGATCTGTGTACATTACAAGGGTTTTAACAAACTGTGTTGCAGATTCCTATCTGTTTCTGTTCTGAAGAAAAAGCTGTTTGTTGCAGCATGTCCTTTCTAAACTGAGTCCTGAATGGGAGTGTCTGGCTTCAGTATAACCAGCTGGTGGGCATCCTGTATTGTAATAGGGAAAGTTGCAGTTGTCTGCATCCCTTTAGTAGTAATTAAGCTAGTGGCGTAACAATCGCCATAGCGACCAAGGTGGCCGTTTGGGGCCCGGGGCACAGGTGGGCCCGGCCAGATGCCGTGCAGGCCACCTAGGTCGCTATGGCATCTTATGCTAGTGGCTTTTACTGGTGGCTGTGAGAAGAATGCGCTGCTGTTCAGATCACTGACATCTTCTCACAGCCACTGCGGAGTTAATGAGAGCCAGCAGCGGCGGTGGAGCAGGCTGGACCCGGCAGTGGAGGAGGCATGGCCCGTGGTCGGCAGCAGAGGAGGGGCCGGGGCCCGGTGACAGAGGCGGCGGACCCAGTGATGGAGGAGGAGGCGGGGCCCATCAGCGATCGTGCAGGAAGAGGAGGCGGACAGGTAAGGAGTGTGACCAGCCCACCTGAGGGTGACCCTGCAGAGCCCACCTGAGGGAGTCTATGGTGGCCTCTGCAGGGTCACCCTCAGGTGGGCTGCGTGGTATCTCAAGTGGGCTCTGCAAAAGGCATAACTAGAAGTCACAGGGCCCCATACAAAATTTTGCTATGGGGCCCTGTGATTTCTAGTTACGCCCCTGAATTAAGCCTTAGTGAGTATTTCACAAAAAAAGTCCTTTTGCAAGAGATGCCAAAAATTACACTTGTATCTTAGTGCAGACTTCTGGAAAAATCAGTTGGCCAATCACTGAAGCAGGAAGTTACATTTCTGGGGGCATTCCGTACCACAACTGTGTAGAACACATCCAGGCCGCCATATGGCATTTCATTTTTTTTGACAGATTTGGAACATTACAGCAGCTACAGTTTTAAATAGAAAGATATCTTTTAATACCATTAAATTACAAAATGACTTGTGTGACAATTATATATGCTATATTCATTTTTTAAAGATCTTTCATTTTAATATTTTTAAAGTGGAGTTACCCCTCCATGTCTAAAAATGACCCTAGTAAGTGTGTGTGTGTGTGTGTGTGTGTGTGTGTGTGTGTGTGTATAAATGTATGTATGTACACTATATTGCCAAAAGTATTGGGACACCCCTTCAAATCATTGGATTCAGGTGTTCCGTCAAATTTCCTTGCTACTAAATATTTCACAGTCAACTGTTAGTGGTATTATAACAAAGTGGAAGCAACTGGGAACAACAGCAACTCAGCCACAAAGTGGCAGGCCACGTAAAATGACAGAGTGGGGACAGCGCATGCTGAAGCACACAGTGCACAGAAGTCGCCAACTGTCTTCAGAGTCAATAGCTACAGAACTCCAAACTTCATGTGGCCTTCAGATTGGCCCAACAAGAGTGCGTAGAGAGCTTCATGGGTTTCCATGGCCGAGCAGCTGCATCCAAGCCTTACATCACTAAGTGCAATGCAGTGTCGGATGCAGTGGTGTAAAGCACGCCACCACTGGATTCTAGAGAAGAGGAGACGTGTTCTCTGGAGTGACGAATCACGCTCTGTCTGGCAATCCGATGGACGTGTCTGGGTTAGGCCGTTGCCAGGAGAACGATACTTGACTGACTGCATTGTGCAAAGTGTAAAGTGTGGTGGAGGGGGGATTATGATGTGGGGTTGTTTTTCAGGGGTTGGGCTTGGCCCCTAAGTTCCAGTGAAGGGAACTCTTGAGGCATCAGCATACGAAGACATTTTGGACAATTTCATGCTCCCAACTTTGTGGGAACAGTTTGGGGATGGCCCCTTCCTGTTCCAACATGACTGCACACAAGTATACAAAGCAAGGTCCATAAGCACATGGATGAGCGAGTTTGGGGTTGAGGAACTTGACTGGCCTGCACAGAGTCCTGACCTCAACCAGATAGAACACCTTTGGGATGAATTAGAGTGGAGACTGCGAGCCCGGCCTTCTAGTCCAACATCAGTACCTGACCTCACAAATGCGCTTTTGGAAGAATGGTCAAGCATTCCCATAGACACACTCCTAAACCTTGTGGATGGTCTTCCCAGAAGAGTTGAAGCTGTTATAGCTGCAAAGGATGGGCCAACTCAATATTGAACCCTACGGACTAAAACTGGGATACCATCAAAGTTCATGTGCGTGTAAAGGCAGGCGTCCCAATACTTTTGGTAATATAGTGTATGTAAAATAGGGACCTTAGATTGCAAGCTCCTTGAAGGCAGGAACTGATACGAATGTACAGTATGTGACGCACTGTGTAAATGGTTGGTGCTATATAGATACCAGTAATAATGTAGCTTTTTTTTTTTAGCAGATAATGGCTCTCAGCTGGCTGGTCCTGGTGATCTCGGTGCAAGCCTTAATTGTTCAAGCAAAACTGTTTGGTGAGTAAAATGATGATTTTGATTCAGTGAACTACTACTACTGTCAGTGGCAGCAAACTCTTTTAACCTGCCAGAGGATTTTTATTTCTATCCATCCAGTACTGAGATATACAGAGCCTGGTTGGTGACCAATATTTTCTATACTGCAGTGAGGGTACAACACAAGCATTACCTTTTAGGAGATAGAAGAAGAGGAGTGTGCAGACAATCTAAGGACTTTCTTATCTCACTGGAAATAAAAGCCATCTCTCAAGGTTTTCTAACCTGATTGTCAGGGGCTACCCCATAGATATTACATTGTCACCCAGTACAGGCAAAAGAGGCCAGAGTGAGACACTATCATTTAAAGTACATGGACATCTTAAGATGGATACATTTTTAAGTGGATTTAGATATGTTTTAAGCTGGCCATACATGGCTCAAATCCCTTAGAGTTAGGTGAAGCTGTGCAAAAAAGCTAATTGGCTGCAGTCACTGTTTAGGTTTTCTGACAGCTGTGGGTGCCAGCTGTCAGAATACAGTAGCTGGCGGCAGATTTGAGCCCAGCAGCTCTACATATATGGCCAGCTTTAGATGTTTCTAACTTCTATTTGAAGTGATTCTGACCTGCTTCTTACCACCAGCACAGCTGCTCCAGTTCTACATTTGGGCTGCTTAGAATTATATTTAAATCCAGTTATTAAAATCTCATATATGCTGACAAGCTTTGCACTGACATGGTCCACTCTTGTCACTATCAAGGCTTTACTTTGAGAAATGCCATCACAGGCGTGCATGCATTAGATAGGAAGGGGCTGCAAAGAGGCTACAGGAGATCAGCAGTGCTGATAGGCAACCAAGGAAATATAAAAAGGTGAATACAGGTACCTAAATATATATATTACAATTGTTTTTGATACACAGTGCTTAAGCAAAGTAAATGTCATAACTATGTGACCGTCTCCCATGATACTGCTAGGCCCAAGCACTGTCACATGATGGAGGGGTTGTGCTCACCATTCCCTCTTTGACTCCAGCCAAAACCTGGTATGTCAACAACTGCCATGGAGGAAAGAGCAGCAAGGAAGCATTGTGAAGGTGAATTTGAGGTGGTCGTTGACTTGTATATGTAGTTCTTCTGATACAAAACCAACTCCTGTGTACACAAGTATTCTATTTTAGCAAAGTATTGATGTTTCATTTATGCATGGACGATAAATCGCATGTCACAGTAGACAAGTTCTTTGTGAATGTGGCTTTACTAATTTGCAGTGGTTATTGAGATGACACATGTTTCCTTTTTCTATAAAGAAATTCCAGAAGACCAAAAACATTTGGTTAGGGGCTTAAATGTAAAACTATTAAAAGCAACACTTGATGGAGAGGCCAATCCGAGTGTGTATGTTGGACTTCGTCTTTCTGAAGAGCACAATCTGGAAAAAGAGAATGAATACCTTCAAAGACTGAAACCTGAGGATCTTTGCAGCAGGTAGCACAAAGTGTAACTATTCTATGCCATGTTATATGCTTTATAGATTTACAGTATGGATACACATTGCCTACAATTTCTTCTCAAATAAAAAATTACCTGAACACAATTTTATTTATTTTTATAGCACTTTGAATATCAAGGATACTGAGCCAAAGACAGGACTAATCGCTCTTCACTTGATGGCCCAGAAGGCTTCTTGTGATAACACGCATAGAAGCAGGTTAATCGCATGTCTAAAACACCATCTCCTCAAAGAAAAAGAAAGTATAGGTAATGGCTAGACTCAGACCACTCTAATCCTCTTGTATGTCATGTATATATGATACTATATAGATCATGGACATTAAATTTAAAATTCACGGCAGTTTGGTCATGAAAATTTGCTTCCAGCAGACGTTTTAATCTCATGTTTGTGCTATGACTCAGAATCTAGTATACAGGTGAAACTCGAATAATTAGAATATCGTGCAGTAAGTGCTGCAAAAGGGGCCCAAACCAAGTACTGAGTACATATGCATGCTTGTACTTTTCAGAGGTCCGATATTGTTCTATGTACAATCCTTGTTTTATTGATTGCATGTAATAATCTACTTTTTTGAGGTTGTGGATTTGGGGTTCTTGGGGTTTTCATGAGCTGTAAGCCATAATCATCACAATTATGACAAATCACGGCTTGAATTATCTTGCTTTGCATGTAATGAGTCTATCTCATATATTAGTTTCACCTTTTAAGTTGCATTAGTGAAATAAATGAACTTTGCACGATATTCTAATTATTTGAGTTTCACCTGTTTATAGAGTCATTGTATGTCTATCCCCATCAGTGTGCTGCCTTACATGAGATGTCCCCATCAGAGTGCCCCCTTACCTTTCCTCACCTGGCACACAGAGGGCAGGAGATGGAGCAGGCTGCTGGTCTGGCCAGAAGAAGTCCCAGTTTTGTCCCTCAGTAATGATGAGGGTGGGGCACGCGTGTGAGGCATTGATTGTTAGGATGCTGAAAGACCTAACAACCAACGACTGCAAAGTAAGGGGGATTCTGTGCTGGGTTATTACTCGGTTATTGCTGGCTGTTTGCCAGTGGATGCATCGGCCTTGAAGAGTCGCTAAGCTGGCACATTCACTGCCAACCAGAGATAACCCAGCACGGGTGCACAGTCATGGTCTGGATAGACCCGTCGCTTTGTCCAATTCTGGACCAGGGTCTGCCATTTATTGATATCTGTAGATTAAAGGCAAAGTCCAGCCAAAACTTTTTTTTTCAGTTTTGTAGCGCGAGCAAGGGTTAGAAACTTTGCTGTATAATTTTACTGGACATACTACTATTCGTTAAAAAGAATCCAGACTAAGCAGTGTACACAATATTTTTTTAAAAATGCAAGGAGAAAGGGGAAGAGGGTTTTATGGCAAAAGGGACATGTCTTTTCTACCAAAAAAACTGTACCTATTACTTGGAGTATTGGGTTAAGGTGAGGGTGAGTGTTAATGGTTACATTTTTGACGTTTAGAGTCAAGTTTTAAGAGGGTTTATCTTCGTGTTAGTGAGTATACTGAGTTAGGTTTTAGAGTCAAGCTAAATGTACCGGTTAGGTTTCAGGGTTACATTAAGTCACAGAGGTAGGTAACATTTTAGGGATAAGGTAAGGGGACACTTTTTCTCAACTTTATTTTCGTGCCCAAAACAACAGTTTTGTCTCTTGGTTCTGAAAACCAAAGTACTGAGAATTACACATGAGTATATCAAAAACCTTGATGAGAAAATGTAAAGTTCACTTTGTTAGTTGCTTAAAATGTATACCTTTTGGTAGAGTTTGCCTATTCAATTTTATATTTCAAGCCATTTTACCATTTTTGGATAGAGAATGGCATGGTTAAAAACCCTGGCAGATTTTTGTTCTCATCTGTGTTGCATTTCTAATGCTTCCCTTAACTTCCTGTTTTGTAGACACAGTAGAAAGTGGAAGGAAATCTCTCCGAAGCGAGGGAAATCCCCCTCTATTCCCATTCAGGCTCAAAATCTTGAATTGTTACTCCCTTTCAGTCCCAGTGACCATGGTCACCAGGACATTTAGAGAGAGAGAGAGAGAGAGTGGCTGTCCCCATTGGGCACACAGACATAAATAAAAAGAGAGATTCTAACACCATCCCCTCATGAATCTATCCTAAACTTGAAAAAAAAGTTTTGGCTTTAGCTACACCACTCACACCTGCCTACTCTCCTCCAATTCTGACAGCTAGAAATGCTAATGGTGTTAACTCTGTAGTTGTAAGTAAATAATTTATTTTTGTTTCCAATTTTTAACAGTGCTATATAGTAAACCATTAACCAGCTATTATCAATACAGCCTTGGTATCCTGGCATTGTGTGTCAATGATAAATTAATCGATAAACATTTTATCAACAAGATTATCTTTGCCGAAGAAAAGAATCAGTTTGTCCATGGAAAAACCATCTCTATAGGTAAGAAACAGAGAACATACTCCCTCTACATGAACTTCAGGGATCCTTTTCCCCAGTTAATCCAGGTGGAGCCCATGAGTGTAAACTTTAGCATTGGGTTTGGTTAAACTCAAGCTTTACTCGAACGAGGGTAACAAACAGTAAGAAACGACAATCATCAGCTTCTCCAACAAAGTGGTAACATAATACATTCTTGTGGCAAAGAACATTTTCTTTCAAGTATCCTGGGGCTTAATCAGTTTCTGTTCTCTTAAATAGGGTGCTTTCACTTAATTCTTCCTGACTCTCCCATTCCCAAGTGTATTTCCCCCCCAAATCGGTACTTGCTTGAACTGATCACTAGGGATTCTAAGTGACAGGCATGTTGCCTGGTTCTCGAAAGATCACTCCGTTACAAGCATAGTATCATTAGTGCAGTATCGTGCTGGTATAATTATACAGTATACAGTGTATCAGCTTTTGTTAGTAAGTATCCTAAGTGTATATCCACAAAACATGAACTGTTGGGTAGAGTCATGGACAAGTTTAGGAAAGAATACATAAGGACACAGGTGATATCATCAATTCCTTGTGAGTTTTATGGTTGCATGTTCAGCAAAAATGGCTTGGCACGACAACGCCCTACTAATATACCATGAAGCAAACCTATGTTCACTTTCCACTTCACAAATCAAAGGCAGACATGTGTAACAGGACCTATAAGTCGTATTAGGAGGCTTGGGAGGTAGGAAGGGACAAGTCCAAAACTGAATTTTACAGAAGTGGAAATTACCAAGTAGCTTCAGCTGCCTGTATTTCTGGATCTACTGATCATTTTCTCATGCAGTTTTCACAGACGGTGGCATACACGAATGTGTGTTTTTATCATGTGCTCAGTTTGAATTGCCCTGGCTTGCCTCAGGAATGTCTAAACTTCCAAGTCACACCCAACTGCTCCAGTGTTCCAAAACCTAATGATGGCACCACACTGCCCTAATTGAGTCCAGCTGCAGCAAAGTAATGATTGGGCACACAGATAGAAAATGCCGTGGGAAGGATACAAGAGGCTGCCATGTGACTCAACACACTGATGCCCATTCAAAATATGTATATTCTGTTTGAATTGAGTTGTACGTTATGAATAGAAAAATCTCAACTGTATATGAGTTGATCCTATGTTAAAAACTCTCTTGTTGCTCATAAAAAAACTATTTTGATTCTGACTTTCATACGCAACTGTAATTTAGTAGACTGTGAAGGAGAATCTGATTGACTGCTATGGTCAACAACAACCAACAAGTCAGCAAGGCCACTTATCCTTCGGGTGGACAGTGGGGGAGGTGGTCAGAAAACCGATCTACTACAAAGAACAAGAGGCAGTTAGATCTTAGATGCAGTTTTACTTGAGGAATATTTTTTAACTGTATCTCTGGTTTATCTGGTAACCTGCTTCCATATATATGGTATTACAGACACCGAAGCCATGGCTGGTTTAGCGCTCTTATGTGCAAAAAATTCTAATAAGTATCCTCGTGAAGATGCCATCAATATGAAGAAGTCTATAAAAAGTATTAAAGACAAAATTTTGACCTCACAGGGAGATGAAGGGCAATTAGGAAATATCTATAGCACCCCTCTTGCCGTACAGGTAAGTCTGCAGATACTGATTAGATGTAGCAACTTGCCATTCAGAATGTTTGAAAAATAGCCATGTATATTTTTATCTGTTATACTCCTCACTGTTTTGAATTTTAAATCTGGCACATGAGAAGAAGCAGTCAGAAGGTTTTGAAGCTGAACTCCAGGCAAACAGCTAAATACAGTTAACATTTTTATTTAGGGGCTGTTTTATCTCTCAAAGGTTTTGTATTTTTTGTCCTAGTCATGACATTTTCAGAGCCCTGGCAGACTGCACAGTAGCCTTTTCTCTACTACGGTTAAGCAATGCAGCTAGGTCACCTTCCTGCCTCCAATTGATGAGTGGATAGTGAAGGAGAAGCAGCATACTGGTGAAGCCATCACTCTGGTCTCTGCCCCTGTCATTCTATTCTCCGTTAGCACACAGCACACCTGATTGACCCCTAGTGCTGGCCACACCTGACCAAGTCGAAATTGTGCAGTACAGGAGATTGCAAGAGGCTGAA